TCGAAATCTAAGCATGCAAACTTTGCTTGTGCAAATTTATATAGGTTTCGGAAATTCGTTTTTCGAGCTCATCGTTCTTTTCTTCTACGCCAAAATCGAATCGCACTCAGAGGGGGTTTCAGTGCGATCCTACATAAAACGTTGAAACAGTAGTAAAACTGGGCAGACAAAACTTTTGATTTACAGTGATATCGTAATTCACCGATTATCCGCTCCAGAATAGTCTATTCTAAGCTTTGGCGATGGTGCTTCAAAAACTCTCAATTATTCTGCATGGATTTCGTCGTCATGATAAGCTCTAGTCGTTGTTCACTCTATTCATTACATTCTAACCTTTCGGTTCTGAAGAAATATTCTCTGGAAATTTATCTGAGTCTCTTCTTTCCAAAACAGCTCGGATGATCAACTTGAGGAATGTGTTGTCTTCCGTGTACAATTTTTTGAGCTTTATGTATAACAGTTTGGCTCTGTCTTCTTCATATCGGTTCGTAAACGGAGAAGGACATTGAAGTTGGTATTTTGTCACATCTTTTTGTGAAGAAGCGCGTGATTATGGTTGTTATATAACAAATGAACAGATGCTTTATGTCCATAGCCAAACTCCAACTGAAGAAAACTAACGACGCCGAATTCTATGGGGTCAGATGTTCTATGGAATATTTTTCTGCTATAATTGACAATGTAGAATTACTATTTCTTTTCGTCCCAGCCAATCTGTTTGAGCCGTGAGTTACCCTTCCTGTCTGCATATTCACGTATTTTATAGAGAATGGTTGAACCAGATACTGCCATCCTAAAACAAGCTTAAGTTCACTGCAGCTTCTCTGTTTCAGTCCTACCTAGGCTGTACATCAAATATTTTTTGTATCCAGGAGAATGAGCCTACTTATCTTTCTTTCATTAGGTTTGATATTGATATTTATCTGATGATTACTATGTGGATCAACATGCTATGTGATTTGTTGTGGGCACTTGTACAGCCCGATACCGTGTTTCAGACCTGGCAACATCGTCAGTCGTGCAGAGCACTTCGTTTTTAGCCAATCCTCTCGTGGGTCCCTACATTCCTCTACAAAGTGTATCGGGCTGAACAAGAGCTCATAACAGACCACATGACATTTTGGCTATGTTTTTGTTGTTTTTGAGCGTGGTATTTCGAGAACACCCGAAACAAAGGTATATGAAAAGTAATCTGATAGGATGTTTTAAGCCTTTGATGAAGTCTAATATGGCACCTCTAGTGCAAGGTCGTCACTTTAGTCCGTTCCGATTTTGGTCACCTAGTTGGCCCTGAGATTAGCAGCCTCGCCGTACTTGCCCCTACCCGACGCTGCTGTACCGAAGGCTTTTTCAGAGTTAGTGGAATGAGATCCACTTTTAATGTTGTTGCAAGCGGTTTTGATACGCAACATATAGCTTACTAAGCTCTAAACGCGGAGGGGTAGGGGGAGGGGGGTTGGGTACTCATGAGTGTTTTGTCAGTCTCTCTCGGAGGAGCAGGAGGAGTATTATGATGGAGGCGACTCGTAACCGCCCCTCCCCCTCTCCATGTCTTCCCAGCCTCTTAAATGCTGTTTTTTCTGCCAATTTGACTCGTAGAAATGGAGATCTGTCAAATCGTGGCTGCATAAGCAGAGTGATCATCCCCTAGATCTGCTTGCGTCTCTGGGAAGCAAATGGTCGCTTTTGGTTTGCATTCCCTACCCACCACTTGGAGACGCGTCATGTGCCCTTGCAACTAATCAAGAGGGATCCGTCTTTGACGAAAATTCGTGCCAGTAGGTTGTCGCTCATATTTATCTTTATTGTTACTGTTAGTATCATTCAGGGCCCTATGTCTCTTACTTTGCAGGATAATGAGTAACCATTACTCTATCATAGACGACGAAGAAGAAGATAACAGAAATTGAGATATTTTCACTGATTAGGTTGAAAATTTTCATATAAGGGCTCTCCATTAACCACGGTATGATCAATCAATGCTTTCTTGATTTCGAATTAGCACATCAATATTATAAAGACTTTTACTCGGCTAAGATTTCTCCTTTGCCTTTTTTTAAGTGGATCGAATCCAAGTTGTGATCCATATGCGGTTACTGTGGTGACATCAGTGTCAGTTCTTTGATTGTTTCTTTAACAGTGATCACCACTGTTGAAATAAAATGTCCTCACTCAGAATACTGCCTGCTTATAGAAGATCAGTGTTGACCTTTTATCATCAAACGTTCTGTGTATTATACGGTAATGCAACTTTCAGTAGTGGGTGTCATTCTTAGCTGGCTTATAAAGCAGTAACACTCTTGAAACCAACTTTCCTTTTGCAGCGACGTGAGCAGCCAATGCTTTTCGGCTGAGACACTGATCGAAACATAGCAGCCATCTTTTCAACTAGATTACAGTCTCAGAGTGGCCAGAGTTCGCTCGAGGTGTCTATTTAGAGTATACATAGGGATATTAGTGTTTTAGTAGGGTAAGTGAATGCTAAATCAAGATTTTAACTTTCCATTTCAAACTCTATTTAAGTAGGCATTGCTAGGGGCCGTAATCGCTCCATGGGGGCCGAATAGCCACGGAAGAAAGACTTTCATAACGGAAACATAGAAGTAAACTAAAATCGTGCTAACAGTGACAAGTTATTCTTTAAATCTTAGGTTTTTAATTAAGCCAGCTAAGATGGAAGTTTGGTATAGATCATTTTTATTTGAAAAATTAGTGTAACCTCTTTACGGGATGTGGTTTCATAATCACTATGGCGTCCACTCAAATGTCGCTCAACGAAAAAGACACGAAATGGAAGTGCGCCTCTTCAAGCAGGTAAAACACTTCAGTAACCATTAAATTATCAGGATCTATCAAATGCGTTTCCTCAAATCTGTTGTAGGCACTGTACCAAAATGCACTATTTCTCTGCAGAGAATTTACTTTCTTCTGTAGTCGGTTATTGGCAAACAAGTGGGCCTTGTTCTTTACTCAAGTATTCCCGTCGGAATTGTGTCATGCACTGGATGGGTGAGTCAGTGTAATTTACATTTCGATCTGTTACTTGAGTAAATTTGGGAAAATAGGTACAGTACAATCTCATATGAAATCTTCTCATAAAAATGAATTAAGAGCTTTATTAAACGAAAGCACATAGAAAATGAATGCAAAACTTTCATGATATTTTGTTGCCTATTTTTCAACTTTTCAACTGAAATTGGTGTAGCTGTTGGTCACCCAAGTCATTTTCATCACTTTGAAGTAGAACTTTCGATATGCACTTTTCGCATGAACAGTGACTATTTGAAAGAATGCTGTCGTCTTTGATCAATGAAGCCGGAATCACAAAACATTTGTGTTGAAAACAGAATTTGGTAGTTTGATCTAGTTCATAGTATATGAAGGGTTGGTGAGGTACAATTCAAACATACGTTACCATTCAACTTTTCAGCTTGATCATTGTTCTGCTACACTTTCGACTCTCACAAATCGGTTTCAAGGCTTCATCTGTACAAGCGGCCGTACAGGTAATATGGGTATCGTTTCTTTCAAAATTTTGTTTTCAGATTTTTTGAGGCACTGTTTTCTGCACTCCAGTGCTGTCTCATACACTTATCTGTAATGGATTGCTTGCAGGTGGTGCGCATCATTCCTCGTAAATGAACGAAGAAAGGAGCATGAAAGTACTGTAGCCTCGAAGCAAATGTAGATTAAGGAGTGAAGAAACTATGACTTTCGATGAAATTTTTTTTTCTAATATCATTTTGATCATCTTGTAATGATATTTTGATGATGTCGAAAAGATGCGCTGAATAACATTCGTTACAATCACATCGTAATTAAAAAGTGTTGACTGTCAATCATATCGTTAATGATTAGTATGACTTTTGTCCTTATATCATTAGCTGAAGATCAGCTTTCATTTTCCCATGGTACCTGCTTGAGATCTATTCCGTTTTTAAGAACTATTCTTAATGAGCTGAAACGAGCGCCTCAAAACACGCTTTATGGTTTTCAGTCATCAACGCCTCGGCTATCATGGCTTATCTCCATTCGGATTTATTATTTAATGATTCTATTATCTAATCTAAAGTCATTTGCCATATTTCAACCTGCTAATAAAGCGTTTATACTTTCTTGCAATTAATATTTATATGCACAAAGGTCACTCACGTGCTGAATTCATGAGATGATACGCCGAAGCCTACAAAGGTTGAAATCTGATCTGAAGTACGGATTCAAATCACGTGTAATGGCCCATCGGTACAATCTCTTCCTCCTCTTACCTGAGCCTGCTGGCCCATCGAATAGGGTCACATTTTTCTTTCGACTGAGCAAATAAATGGATCATATGAGGGAATTTACAACATAAGTGGAGCATATCTCAAAATACACAAGTGATTTTGTTCAAAACTCTGTACGATAGAGAGCAAACCGATCGGCTATGATGATAACGAGGTTAATGATGAGTCAACGAACACTGTCGTGCTTTATGAAGCTTGAATCCTCTACGAGATGGAAACGATTCAGATCTGTTGACTTACGTACGAAGCAGTTCAGCCTCAAAAAAGTTGTTAGAGTAAAAATTTGGATCTAAACACAGCCACTAGCATTTAAAGATTATGCAGATTGAGGTAGCTGTAACTTGTATGGCAAATTTACAATGATAAAAAATACAGATTTCAAGGCGCTGATGACTTCCTAAGACATGCGCAGTGCATTCGACCAGAAACCAACGTAGAGATCAATATAGCCAAGGGGCCTATGCCCATTTTCTGGTGTTCTAGTAATGTATTAGGTCGGTGTTGAAGAACTTCAAGATTTATACCCTTGCAAGGGTTGGCTGAACAGAAAGGCATCGTGCTACTCATGAAGAAGCTGTTCGTAGGGAAGAAAGCCACGCGTTGTTGATAGCACCGAAAGCCAAGAGTCGCAAAAACAGATGATAATCCCCTTTCAGGGTACTGATATGTCAAATGATGATAACGTATTTTAGCGTAGAAAGAGTGCTGTGAAAACGAGCTTCGATGGTGCAAACGGCTAGCATGCGCTCCCGGAAAGAGTGAGATCTGGGTTTGAATCCCGGCCGACGCAAAAGTTTTTGCATATCACTCTATAAACAAATGCATTCTCTTGTCATCGTGTTCGCATGAAAGACGGTCTGAAAATGATGATGTCATCAAGTTTACCTTGCAAAGAATTTCGGCCGTATGGTATCAACCCTTTGCTGGCAGTGGGGGGTTTTTTGACCAACTTCTCATTGCCGAAATACGTGTCTAGCACTGTATAAGTGCCGTAACAGACTTTATATAGCTCTTGATATTTTATCGGGTTATATACTGTTGCGAGAAAAGATCTACAGAAACATTCGAATGCAAAAACAAACTTTTTATATTGAAACTCTACGAAAAGAAGGCGTTCTTTGACATAGAACGAGAGATTTTTGGGCACATCCACAAGTTGTTCTTATAGCATCACAAAAGGAAGAACTGTCAAAAGTAGCCGCTCTCATGTCGGTTTGAGAAGACTGGAATAGGATTGACGTTACCGATAAAGGAGGAAAGTGATGCACGTTTAACAGTTTAAGAGACTGGGAAATCGAGATATTTCAGCAGAAGTAGGGATAATATGCGAAAAAAAAGTCTTTGAATTCGCTTATTTGAAAACTGCTGCTAAAATTTTGCTATTTCTGGGAAAACATCGGAAATGATTTCATTTGTGGTCACATAGGAGACAAAATCTTTTGGAATGAGTTTGCTTTTGAATGGCTTGTTCAAGGAACCAAAATTGCTAATGTGAACGTATTCATGAATTAAGAACAAATGAATGCAATTTTTGCGGCATATGTTAAGTGATTTTGATAAGATCTTTTACGATTTTCCATTCACTGTTTTTCTATCATGATGTACTGAATGATACGTTCAAAATCTCATAACAGTAAAGAACAAAAACTTGCGTTTTTTTAAGAAAATTGGCTTCAGTATTTTGTGAGGCCGTTGAAGTATAGAAAATCTTCCAGTAAAGGTATACTCTTCATCCTCATGTTACACCTTATTAAAAACTTTCTGTCTATGTAGAAGAAACAACACAATTAATATGTTCTGAAAAACTGGCTGTGTCGGTACACATACATTTCGTATCAGGTCAAATCCTCTTTTCTCTCAGTGTTCGTCCATTATAATTTGATTTTGTGGCAACCAGTTTAGTAACGTGAAACATATTTGGAAAAACCACATACTAAAATGATCACACTCACACTATCACTAAAACGTTAAACAAGCAAGTGTAAGAAGAATGATAGTTGTTTTCGTCCACCAAATAACTAGACGTAGAGTTTTTCTTCCTTCGCTTATAAGCTGCCTTTGTAGGCTTCTGAACAGCCATTAAAACTGAAATTAACATTTGACTATCTGAACATATGCTCCAAAATAGAACCAGTGGTATGACTACGTATCGATGAGAAAGCAGACGTTGATCGAAAAAAGTTCCGTTCTCTCCGTTATAAAGTCAAGGTTAATGGCCGGCGTTTGTTTCATGTCGAAATCAAATTCACTAATGTTGTTGGTAGCCAACACTCATCATTTTCTCAGTAGAATGGTTTTTAGAGCGATTTCGAAACAATGCTGGAAAAAATAGAGCTCTCCAGCTTTATAAATTCTTCCAGATGCAACTTTCGTTGAGATTATATCACCCGACAGCGAATAAAGATGAATATACCCATTGATGTAGAATGATGTGCAAAACTTTCCTTCAGGCGGGACTAGAACCCGAACCTCATTTTCCGGGAGCGCATACTCTATCCGTTACACTACTGACGCCCATTTTGCACATCGCTCTTTTCGGATAGAGCACGCACTCCCGGAAAGACTGAGGTGCGGGTGCTAGTCCCGCCTGACCCGAAATTTTGCGCATCACTTTACATAAATGGGTATATATTTGAAACATCATACCACCGCTAGAAGCCGTTAAATAAAACGAATTTCATCAAAGATGAATAGTTTTCCTAAAAATGTGATTTCGTTTAGACTGAGAGGATTACAAAGTGTTAGAGATTCTTATTTTTTTAAAAGTGGCCATGCAACAAGGAAGTGTGACACCGGTGGATATCTTTTGACCACAGCAAGATGGCAGTTCATTGAGAAACTTTATAATTGGAATTGCGGTGCCTGAATATATTAGATTTACTCTTGTATTAGCAATTCTACTGTTGCACTTCACAGCGTGCCTTGTTATGGAAAACGAACGTAAATCAGAGAACAAATGCTAAAAACTGTATGACATATTATGCAGTTATAAGGCTTATCCGAAAATATTTTGATACAAATTTTTCAGCACAACTCATTCCTATATCGGTTGGCTTAACACATTAATGGCTATATTCACTATACGATATTTAATCTCATGAAGTAGTGCTCGTTGGGATTCGACAGTTATACCCTTCTCATTCTTCTTTCTGTTTAGTTAATTGAACCCACTCATGCATTTGCTCTAATTGCAAAAATAGAAGACAAATAAAAAGTAGCGGAAACAAATTTTTTGGCAAATGTAGCTAGTGAAAGGCAGAGATCTTTTAGTCGTCGTACTGCAGCCGTTCAGACTGTTGACTTTAACAACTCAAGATCAAGTGATCACAATAAGACCGACTTTGTGTCCAATGAGTCGTCTTGAAAATTCTAACTATTCAGAGCAACTTGAATCGGTCGATTATAAGTGTGAATCTCTTCGAATATGCAGTAATTGTGAAGCTTTTCGTAGTTAAGTTATAATGATATTCATCTTCCACCGCTGATTACAAGAAGAAGAGTTTACCTTCACAAATTCTCAAGGATGCAAAGCTATGATGAAAAACCCTAAAAGCGCTAATGAGGCTCAGAATTAGCGATTATATAGAGTTGTGGAGTTTCCATTCAGAAATGATGCCCTTTAGTGTCCGATAGGTATAACCCACAGCGAGCTCGTATCCACTGACTGTAATCTAGGCCCACAGCGTGGTATGCGAAGTAATTAATTACATTTAACCATTAAGGTTAAAAGGTAGAGTTTGACACCGCAACATTATCATGATGTGAATGAAGAAGGAATAAAACGTATGTATGTATGTATGCGTATATGCGTATATATATATATATATATATATATATATGCGCATCTGTGTTGTGTGTGTGTTCAAGCCTGTATTTCTGTGTTTGCTGTATGTAAACAGATAGGAAGAGTAGTTAAGAATCTTAGGGAATAACCAATTCAAATTTGTTTGGACCCATTTCTTTACATTTCCGTTATCTTCTATTGAGAAAAATTTAATATTACTTCTTCCTCAGATTGAACAAAGAAAATGAATTTACTGCGTTGTTGACTGAAGGAGAGTAATAAATGCCTTCATTATGTGTTTGCTGTACTGAGGATTGTACTGATAAAACCCATCAGTTGACAATAAAACGCTCAAACAATTTCTTCAGATTGTAAAAAATGATTTGCAGAGTCTAAATAGGAGCTAATCATCAGTATGATGTGCGAATTACAACGGAAGTTCTCATTTTTCTTAAAATCCTATCAATGCAAACGGAAAGATGAAAGATATCTGTGATAGCGCCGATAAGGGATATTTCTGGTGTCATCGTCTTTAAAATGTTGTGATCTGTTGCCAAAGTTTGTGCAAAACATTCGCTATTTTCTGCTGACGCTTATTCATCCTAAATTCCTCAAATGCACTCTGAATCGCTCAATCAGTCACGGCACTATGTTTCTAGGTACTCACCATTGCTGTTCCTTTGGTTCCTGTACCAGAATTTCCTATTTTCGAAATGCATGTATCTAACTTTTCCGTAGACGACATGCTCCTATCGGTTGAGTAGAAATGATAGAAAATTGTTTTGCTGTCGATTATGCATCTATCACTTTACAGTCAATTGCAGATCAACTCACAGAATCATCAACGAAATCATCTTGTAAAGGTGCTTCTTAGGCTTCGCCCGCCTAAAGGACACTGTAAGCATCATACATTTTCATCCATGCCCTTTGATTTAAATGCTCGTTGTCATAAGTTTACAGCGAGTAACTCATTGTGAACTATCACGACAAAACTTAACTCGTTGCTGAAAAAGATTTGCGACATAAATTTGAAATTTTAAAGTCAACATTGAGATATACAATCTTCAGCCATAAGAAGACGTTGAAACCACCGGAAGGCGCTATATGAATTAAGATTTCATGTATGGAAATCTTTTCTATGAATCAAAACTTTAATACTTAAACTTATGCATAGATGAGGATATATATTTCGCAAAAATAGAGCGCTAAGCGAGTGCTAGCGAAATAGTGTGGCAGGTTTTATACAACGATTTCACTTTCGTTTTTCGAGCAAGTCTTTTTATGCATACGAACGCCTTTTATCTTTATTCAACAATATTTATAAGTTGCACATTGACTTTTATCAAAAAAAGTTTTCTATATTTTCCAGATGTCAATTTTTTCGTCCACCCCATTGTACATTCACTCAGGGAACATTGTGGTGTCGATGATAATGGCGGTGGTAGGTCTTCAACTTTTTCTCCTGCAACTAATAAAAGTAGCAGTTTTCTTCGAAAGTCTGCTGTGTGACTGAATGGGAATGCACAACTCTGCTTCATCAATTATTTTCAGAAGACTTTTATCTCACCAGCTACACTTTATAGTCCTCTGAACAACAAATTCTGTGATAAATGCTCTAGAAAGTAAATCAAAGTCATAATTCGTTTCGAGTGTTATCGTAAGACCACGCTCAAAGTTCAGTGTGCCTCATAATTATTTTCTGAGCCATGCGTGTAGCCTGTTATGGGCACTTATACAATCCGATACACGTGTTTCGCTACCCTCCCCCCTCCAAAAAAAAAAAAAAGAAAAAAATCACTAGGTATATTGAAATTTGAGCGTGGTCTTAAGAAAATACTCGAAACGAAGATGATATACTTGACGATGTCAACCAAGAGCAATCGAAAGTACAACACTGCCAACTGAGCGATAATTTCGCTTAATGGAACGTAGGAATGGTAGGTCTGCGCCTTCTCTATGAAGGGGGTTGGGTTCCCCGAGAGCAGTGGCTAAAGACCAAGGACTCG